AATACACTTTTTAAAAAAATTTGGTTACAAATGTATGCTGAAAATAGTTTTTCCCAGTCAATGATTTGTCTTCTTTTTCTTGGTAGTGTTTTGATGAACAGGAATTTAAAATTTTGTGAGGTTTAGCATCAATTTTTCTTTTACGACATGTGACTTTTGTCTCTGGTCCAACATTTTGCCAACCCTTAAATCATTAAGATATTTTTTCTGTGATTTCTTCTAGAAGTAGTAAGGTTTTGTGCTTTGCTTTTAGGTCTCTGATCCATCTTGAGTTAATCTTTGTGTACGGGGTGAGATTGAGTTGAGGTCCATTTTATTTTCATCTAGGTATCCATTTGTTCCAGCAACATTCGTAAAAAAGATCATTTTCACCCTCTAAATTGACTTGGTAAAATCAATTTGTTGAATTCAGTTTGCTTTATGTGTGTGCCTATTTCTGGACTCCTTATTCTGTTCCATTTTATCAATTTGTCCATCCCTATCAATACCATACTATATTGATTACTATAGCTTTACAATAAGTCTTATAATCAGGTACTATAATGCTGCCAACTTTATTCTTCTTTTTCAAGATTATTTGAATGTTCTCAAGCCTTTGAATTTCCTTGTAGAATTTAGAATCACATTGTCTTTTTATTCAACATAGCTTGTTGGCATTTTTTGGCATAACAATTTATATACCAGTTTAAGGACACTGTACATCTTAATAATATTGAGCCTTTTATTTTATGAACCTGGCAGATTTCTCCATTTATTTAGATCTCTTAAAATTTCTCCCAGAAATGTCTTCCAGTTTTTAGTGAAAAACTGCCATATTTCACTAGATTTATTTCCAAGAGTGTGATATTGTTGTTGCTTTGTACATTAAAAAAATTTTGTTTTCTAATTCTTTGTTGCTAGTATATAGAAAATCTAGTTCCCAATTATTCCAGCATAATTATTCATTTGCCTTATCTCACAAGTCTTACAACACAAATACCAAACTTATAACCAATAACATAATTATTAACATTAATTTAAGCATATTTTCATTTCCCTAAGCATATGCTAATGTAGGGCCAGCAAATTATGACTGAGTTGGCTGCCTGTTTTTGTCAATAAAGTTTTATTGGAACACGGCACATTCATTTACGTATTTTCTAAGGCCGCTTTCTCACTATATTAGCAGAGTTGAGTAGATGCAAGAGAGACTGTGTGGCTTGCAAACCTAAAATATTTACTGTTTGTCCCTTTAAGAAGAAGTTTGCTGATCACTGCTTTTAACAGAGTTTCTCAGTGAGGGCACTGTTGACTCTCGGGCCAGATAATTTCTTGCTGTGGCGGTTGTCCTGGGTATTATAGAATGTTTAGCCCTGGCCTGTGTTTTCTAGATGTTGGTAGCAGCTCTCACCTCTTGTGAATCAAAATGTCTTCAGACGTTGCCAAGTGTCTCCAGGCGGTAAAAAGTGTGATGCCTGACCTGACTGTTCTAAGTGGGCAAAGAAAAGGCAATGCTTTCATTGAATAGAGAACAAAGAAAGCAAGCATGCCAAGAAACATTTCATCAAGAAACGTGTGTTAAGTAATTATCAGGCATTGTAGTAACTGACAAAAACAAGGGAGGGATTATAGCTGTGTGGTCCCCCCTGCCTTTCTGCGCCCAGGTATTAGATATCACATGTATTCTCACCTTATTTTGATGTGCAGGTTTATTGTTTTTGGTCAACATAGTTAATATGGGGGGGGATTAGAAGACCCAAGACCTGCTGACCCTATGCACGTGTTAAACCATAGGAAGACAAGGTCACAGAGGTATAGAGTTAGAAGGGACAATGGAATCCATGAGGCTCAATCCCTCACCTAAGGAAGGGCTCTTATTAGTCACTTGTAGGAGAGCTGGTCGTCTGACCTCTGCCCGATGATCTGGAGATGGAGCACTCAAGACCCTCTGGGGTCCAATGCTACAACACTTACAACCCACGGGGCTCAACACTGTCTTTTGTTTGCCTTAATTTAGTGTTAATGAAACAGCAGCAACACCACCATGAACATCATTTACTGAGCATTTACTGTGTGCTGGGCACTGTGCTAAGCACTTTAAATGCATGATCCCCTTTAATCCTTAAAATGACTCTACAGGACTGGTGATATTACCTCCATTTTGTAGATGGATGAACTGAAACTTAGTGATTTGCCTGCATATTTGCCATAGGTGTGTGTGTGTGTGTGTGTGTGTGTTCATGTTTGTAAGAGTATGTGTATTTGTGTGTAAAATAAATATGCAGTACCCTACTACTCCTCCCACAAAATAGAGGCCAACACACACTGCAGGAGATCTGACAGGACACTATCATGAGTGTCCCAGACAGGCTAGTCATTTGGTGACTTTTTAAATTTATTTGGAATTTTCTAGAAATTATAATTTTCCTCCACAGATAACTTACTAGGAAGTTAATGTATGTATATATTTTATCCACTTCCTTTTTTATATTCACAATTTTAGAAATTTTTATTTTTTTATTGAAGCATAGTTGAAATATAATATGTTACAAGGGTACAATATCATGAGTCACAGTTTTTAAAGGTTATACTCCATTTATAGTTATTATAAAATATTGGCTATTTCCCTCTTTTGTACAGTGTATCTTTTTGGCTTTTTTGTACTAATAGTTTGTACTTCTTAATCACCTGTCTCTATATTGTCCCTCCCCCATTTTCCTCTCCCTACTGATAACCACTAGTTTGTTCTGAGTCTGCTTTTTTTTGTTATAGTCAGTAGTTTGTTGTATTTTTGTATTTTTTAGATTCCACATGTAAGTGATACCTTATGATATTTGTCTTTCTCTGACTTATTTCACTTAGCATAATGCTTTCCAAGTTCATCCATGTTGCTGCAAATGGCAAAATTTCATTCTTTTTTATGGCTGAGTAATATTCCATTGCATATATATACCACATCTTCTTTTTGCATTCTTCTGTTGATAGACACTTAGGTTGCTTCCATATCTTAGTGATTATAGATAATGCTGCTGTGAACATTGGGGTGCACGTATCTTTTCAAATTACTGGGTTTTTTCCCACATATATATACCCAGGATTGGAATTGCTCAGTCATATGGTAGTTCTATTTTTAGTTTTTTGAGAAACCACCATACTGTTTTCCATAGTGGCTGCACCAGTTTGCGTTCCCAACAGTGTACAAGAATTTCCTTTTCTCTACATCCTCACCAACATTTGTTCTTTGTGTTCTTTTGGTGATAGCCATTCTAATTGGTGTGAGGTGATATCTCATTGTGGGTTTGATTTGCATTTCCCTGATGATTAGCTGTGTTGAAAATCTTTTCATGTGCCTATTGGCCATCTGCATTTCCTCTATGAAAAAGTTTGTTCAGTTCTGCCCATTTTTAATCAGGTTGTTTGTTTTTTTGATGTTGAATTGTATGAACTGTTCATATATGTTGGATATTAACCCTGACCTCAAATGTTGCTTCGTTTGACTTGTCTCTTAAATCCCGGCTCTGGACTTGAGGTGGTGCTGGGGGTTGAAGGGTCTTGTTGATGAAAAGAGGGGCCCTCATCCTAGAAACAGATTTCCTTCTCTGTAAAATGATGTGGGCAGTTTCCAAGGGTGCCTAAGTTTCATTCCAGTTGTTAGAGTATGTGAACCTGAAAGTGAAAAATGTGAACATGGGGATAAGAGAGAATACTGCATTGGTTGGCTTGGGGGAATAATGAAGAAAATTTTACCACAGATAAAATTACTTTTATCAAATTAAATTAATTACTTATCACTGCTAAATAAAGAAGGAACTATTTTTTCCCACGAGGCTGATACGTTGAACACAGGATGTATTCCTGTTATGGGAAAGGTACACTGTAATTTTTAGTGTGACCACTGGATGGCACTATTGCTCCACGGTGTTAGTGAAAAAAAAAATCACCCTGCATTTTCAGGTGAAGTGAGTTTGCAGGAGGCTGCTGAACCTTAAGGAAAAATATACGTGGTTATTATAGCTGTAAAGGACTTCTGGAACTATCTGTTCAGTCTCTTTATTTTATTTATTATGTGATATATAAACACATTTTAATTGTAAAGGAATCAAGTTTTATATATACTTGCTTCCTTTCCTCCTCACTCTCTGCCATGCTCATTCCCCACCCCAGAGAAAACTTGCTGTTAACCCTTTGGGGTATTGCTTTAAGGTCCTTCCTGTGTGCTACACACATATGTGTATGTACGTGTCATATGTGACTTTTCTTAATGACCATTTATGTGACCTCCTGATTTTGTAAATGAGGAAAGACGCAGTGTGGGATTTGGGGCCAGTGCTGTTTTGTGGGAAGAGCCTGTGCTTTAGAGTCACACAGACGTGGGTTTTAAATTTTCATCTTGCAGATTAACAGTGACCAACCTTGGCCAAGCTATTTAGCTCTCACCTGAGCCTCATTCCCCTCGACTTGCAAGCTGTTCAGGTGTAGTTTAAAAAGATGGATCCATGCAAATGCTCCTAGCTCAGCTGGCCTGGTTATAAGTGTTAATTTCCATCTCTATCACTCTGCCAAGTTCACACAACTCAATAGTGGAAGAGCGTGGTTTTCTCCATCCTGTGCCTCCTAGGAACCTTTGAAAGATGTGAGTACATGCATACATGCATTATCAGATGCAGACTCCAGCTTAATGACCCAGTGCCCCATAAGTATGAATCCTGCTGCTGCCAAAAAGTCTTCCCTGGCCACGTGTGCCTCGCTTCTGTTCAGGTTCAAGGAAGGACTGTATTTGAGGGCTGGAGGGAAACTCCAGGGTACAAAATGGCACAGGAATTCAGAAAGGCTCAATCGACTGGGAATCAAGTTCAGATTCGGCTGGTCTGTCAACTTACTCAAAACCCCCGTGTTCTCTGTGCCCAGGTTTCTTTATCTGTAAAACCAGAAAGATGAATCTGGACCCCATTAGAGCTTAAACTAGTGAGAAGCTAAATAAGCCACGAAGCCCATCAAGCTTTCCTTTTTGCCTTGTTTTCCAGAAATCTCAGAGCCAAGTTGAATGTGACTTGAAACAACTTCCCTTGCCCCCAGGTTTCTGGGGTAAGTACCTTCCATTTTGTGGTTTTCTGCTGGTTTTCATTTTAATGGTGTGAGTTATGGACCAGTACAGGTGGTGGTGAAGAGATGGGCTGGATTTAATCCAGGCACGTGGGGGCTTGAAGCTTTGCACTTTGGGATACCGTGGCTGGGAAGGATTCATCCCCCCTTTATAGAGTCCATGACAATGCCTGATGTTTCACTGGGCAGTTTTAGAAAATCCTTTCAGATGAGTTTAAAAATAGTGATTTAAAAATAAGATCTCTGATCTAATTTGAAACTCACAACAGTCTTTGAGGCTTGACTGAAAAGCAGCAGGCACACTGGGAGTTAGTTGAATGGTGTTTTATAAAAACAACACAGCCTTAAACACATTAAACAAAACAAAACAAAACCCAGAGGAACAGCGTATCTGCTTCAGGTAAGAAAGTCTTTTCCTGAAAAATGAAGCAGGTTTTAGAGGAAGCGAGGTGGCAGGAAGCGCAGGACTCGGGGGCAGGTTGGTGGAGTTTTCCATCCCCGGGTAGACCAAGCTGGGACCACATGCTCCCTTGTCTCTGTGTGGTTCTGAGCTGCCCACTGGGTCATGGCTCTTTTCTCCTTTATCCTGTGGATGTGAACCTCACTTATGGCCACCACACAGTTTTCCTCAGGAGGAGGCAGGGGCTGTGTACCCCATCTTGGAGATGAAAACCTGCATTGTTATGGCACCGTGTGCTGCTACTGTCCACGAAATGGGAACAGTCTCTGCACTTGATTCACATTCTGCCTAAATCGACCAAAGAATCTACCGGGGCTCCTGGGGCGGGGTCCTGGGGCTCCCTGAGGGGACCACCTCTGGGACTCCCCAGGTCCCTGATACTAGGACAACTGGATGGCACTTCTGAGATGCAGAAGGATCGATTTTGCAATGAAGAAGAACGGATGAAGACACAGACCTCAGAGCAGAGTCTTCCAGTCACTCTGCACAGCAGCTCCATGACTGCTCATCCTAGGATGAGATGCTGTGGGATAAACAGGAGCGACCATTGCCACTTTGCAGGTTTTGCTCTCATTCCAGTCTGGTGATGGGGGAAGCAGCTGCAGGCATCGTTTGCTTAAAGCGAGTCTTCTGTCCTGATGTAAATGCTGAGCTTTCTAATGAAGAGGAGATTGATGCTTCGATGACGCTGGGGAGCTGTGGGAGGGCTCCTTCACGTCCCCAAAGAAGGGGCGGGAAACAAGCCTTCAGAGAGTCTCCCTGGAAGAGGCTTAAATGAGCGACTTCTATTTCTTTTCCAGAGTTAGAGGCAGGCTCAGTCTACAGTCAAGGCTGTGAGCTGTGTGCCTACTAGTTCTACTTAAATACAATTTCTGCATGAATTGCTATTGGGAGTGTTTCAGTGTCTCCCATTGGAGAGTCTTGTCTCTGAGTAGAGCTGTACCTGAGCTGTTCAGGTCAGAGCTGCCAGCGTTAAGCAGAAGAACGCCTGGTTGCAACAGCCGTGTTTATAAATGGTCGCTATCTTGCCTCCGCAGGAAGCCGGGCAACTTTTTAAAAATGCAGAGTCAGCTCGGTTGGTGCAGTGCTGAGACCTGATTAAGAAAGCCTTGCTATTCAATTCTCTGTCTTTAAATGAAATGATTTTCAAAGTCTTAATGGTTTCGATGCCAAAGGAGAGGGAAGAATGCCAAAGCCGATGGGGAAACAAATCGTTTTTCCCAAACGGGCTATTTTCACGACGAAAGGAAAGAAAAATCCGTTTTGAACTGCTGCGCTGGGGACAAAGACAGTGGTGCTGCAGATCTGGGCTTCAGGGCCTCGTCTGCAAAGTGTGCAGAGGGTCCTGGCACTTGGACGGAGCCAGATGGCTGCAGGTTCCACCAGTTTGGCCAAACTGGTCAGTCCTGCAATAGGGCTTCTTCCGGACTCAGGGCCTCTGACCTTCTCCGCATAGAGTGTTTACTTTAGAAAACCTTCACCTGTAAATTCTTCCCCTGCCCTTTTGAAATGTAAATCTTCTCACAGCCTCTTGCCAGGTTGATAACCTAGGAACCTGGGAGCCACCCCTTTAAAATAAATTCACCAGGAACGCTAGCAGCCTAGTCTCCCCCTCTCTGTGGGCAGGTAGGAGCCTCACTTCCACAAGCACCAGCTAGCAAACACAGATGGCCTGATCACACTGCCCCGCCTCCCGGCTACCTTCCTCCAGTGCTTTTTCGCCAGCTCACTCCAACCCTTAACGACTCTCCCGCCTTGCCTTTTGTTCAGCCCCTCTCCCCTCTTGCTGCAAGAGCCTTGAATAAAATCTCCCTTGCTTGTTTAACTCTGTCTGGCACAGTTTTCTTTGGCATTGCTCACTCCACATCCTCTTTCTGGGACTCTGGAGTCCCACCACCCCCTGTGGAGCAACCTCTTCTCTGATGGAACTGCCTGGAAGCTGCCCCTCCCCCAGCCTCGCATCCAGTTGGAAGAATCCCCTTCCAGCCCCTCTGTCTTCGGGCTGTAATCCCAGAGGTGCTCGCACCAGTACTTCCTTAGGAGGGAGGGCTCGGGGAACGGGGGAGGAAACCACCACCTGGCTGCTCCTTGGGACTCTATTTCCATGGGGATCTCTCTATTTTGTAATTTTCTTTTAATTAAAAATACATTTTCAGTTCTTGGGTGGGGAATAAATTACAAATGCTAGGAGCCCTTGAGCCGCTGCATTGGGGTTCCTGGAGTGTCTTGATGGCTTTATTTTGAAAAATCTGTGGTCCGTTTTGGGGAGACAGTTTCACCAAGTGTGGCGCTTTAGAGCCTGGGCTCTGGAGTCCACCTGCCTGGGTGCATTCTCCCCTCCGCTGCTTGATGTGTGACCTTGGCCCTTTGCCCAAGTCTCTCCCTGTGTCTCAGTTTCCTCACCTATAAAGTGTGGGCTCCATCAGAAGGTTGTCGTGAGGGTTACATGCTTACATGTAAAATGATTAGTACCGTGTGTAGCACAGAGTAAATTTCTATTAAATGCTTCCCCATGATCATTATAATATGCATTTTTTTTCCTGGAAGGAAGCACATGGAGTTGTTAACAAATAACCTTTGTGGAGAAACAGAGCAGGGCGAGAGGTGTTGCCTTTTGATTTTGTGCTTTCTTGTGCTGTTTTAGCTTTTTAACCCTATACTTCTTTTGTTTAAAGATTTAAATTAACTAAACCTTTTCTTTTCTCATTGGTAACTAAGTGAAACAGCCCGTTGATAGTACAGGAGGAAGTGCTTGTCCAGAAACCAGGCTTCAGTAAATAAGTCCTTGCCATTTCAGAGTCAAGTTTCATCTTGAAGAGCCCTTTTTAAAGAATGGAAAACAAACACGTGAAGCGAATGCTACTTACTGTGTAACCTCTCCTCCTGAATCCCTTTGATTTGGTTGACCTACATTTACATGGACTCCGACAGCATCACCACTGGGAAAACATTCATTGTGCTTCCGAGATGAACGGCCATGCAGGATGGCACCATGATGTATTTTTGGGTGGAGAAAAAAAACGTGTTGTTTCTAAGCTGGTAGCAGAATTCCTGTTAGAGTGAGAGCTGCCTTCGTTTAGGAAAATTTACTATTATTCTCTTTGGGTATGAGGGGATGCTTCTGATCCCTCTGCCTTCCTGCCCCTACTGGCTGAGTCAGAGTCCAAGAGAGAACAGAATTTCTCTTTACCAGAAGCTGGAGCAATGTTAGAGTCCCATGGGTGGCTGAGAAATGAGGGGATGAGTTGCTCAGAGATAGAGGAAAGCAAAAAAGCTGACCAGGGAGAGGTTCTGGGAGGAATGGTCAAGGGGAGCTTTGGAACAAGGCTGTCTTTGTAGGTTATCTGCTGTGCAGTAGTGTCCCCCGTCATCACTGTTTCACGTCACTGCTCTTGTGGAAGGGTTTAGGGAAAGGAAGGAAAGAGACTAGAGGAGGAAGCAAAGAAAAGAATAGCCTGAAGAGGACTGATATGACTAAGATAATTATTTAGGGAGTGGGAGAAGTTAAAACTGGAGGAAATAATGCAACCTCTTTGAGAGATATTGGGGGTGTTGGGTTTCCCACTGTGTGGGGACGAGGAGGCTGTAGCCATTTCTCCTAGTAGTGTGGCAGAAACTTCTAATTGTTCCCCAACATCTATTTTTGCTTTTAACCTAGAACTCCCCTAGTTTCACCCAGGCACATGGCTACCCTGCTAGAGATGACATTTGCTTTACAGTTAGATGTGTCCCTTTGACCATGCATCTCGCTAGTGAAGACGAACAGAAGGTGCAATGTAATTTCCATTTGACTCTTTTGACAGTACATGACTTGTCTCTCATCGCCTCTGTTCCTCCTTCCATGGTCTAGAGCATGGAATTAGCAGTAAGTCCATTTTGACCACCAAGATAAGGACAGCACCTACAAGTCTTATTTGTCAAAGCACAGATTGTGGTGGGAGGGGGTGTGGCATGAGAATTTGTGTTTCTAACAAGCTCTTGGCTCATGCTAATGCTGCTGGTCCAGGGGCCACAGGAGACAGGAAAACAACAAAGTAGAAGGAGCCTGGGTACCTGGGTGTTCTTGTGGAGCAGAGTCACCTAACCCCCTGTGTTATCTCTGGACTGTTTCCGTAAGAGTGAGATAAACTTCTGTCTTGTTGGAGCCACTGTGTTTTTGTATCTCTCTCTTTTTTAAGCAGTTGACCCTGTATCTTAATACGAATATTACAGGTAAGGGTTACACAGTAAGACTGGAGGATTTGGGGACTACTGGGCAGCTGGCTGTTAGGTTCGACATGGGTGATTTTTATTTGGAGAAGTAATATAACAAAGGCAGTTACTTGTTTAATGACAGAATGACTTCTTTTATGAGCATATTATAGGTGGATGGAAAACATTCCCTCCACAGCTGCATCATTGCTTGTTTTCTTGCCTTGGGAAAAGCTAAAAACTTGTATGTCCTTGTGTTTATGTGAGCATGAAGTTTCAGGGCTGTGGTTCAGAAAGGGGTGCTTTGGGCATTGTTTCAGAAAACGTTTGA